AATTATTATGACTGTAGTTCTTATTGTATTGGAATCATTGTTATAATTATTATAATCACTATTATTATTATTATTATTAATATAACTTTTATCATTATTATTCCCACTTTTATAATTATTATTCTCACTTTGATCATTACTCTCATTATTCTGAGCACTATTATCACTTTCACATCCCCACTATTATCCCTATTCTTACAAAAATATACCTATATTTATAACTGTTATAAATTATATGTTCTCAATGATCTATTTTGTTCTGGAAATTCCAATTTAATGAGTCGCCATCCCGTATTTCTTTCCACTTTCTCTAAATTTAATACAATTATCTGTATAATTACATATAAATACACTATAATTACCATTATTTTTCCATACTCTCTATTGGATCTGATACCACAGCTTTATATAATTAATAAATAATATTATCAATGATTTGGGACCTGCAGACGCCTCCAGCATCTCCCCCCCCAAACCCTCCAGGATTTAAAGGTTTATGTTCTTAGCTCGGGTGAGCTATTTTTACGCATCCTCACCAGACTGGGCCTTATTTCTCCCAGTTTTTCACCAGAGAAAGGAAATGTAATTATTTTTTTTTTTAATTCCTGAGAAGACTTATCAGCCAGAGCAGAGTTTCCTGCCTGGAGCTGGAAGGCTCCGTCCGGAAATGGCACCAATGCCTTGCCAGGAGGGGGGGATGAACGGATGCGGGAGGAAGCTAAAAATACCCCCCAGCTCCTTGTTTTCCTCTTCCCACCCTGGAAAAATCCAATTAAAACCTCTGAGCTCTTAGGGAAAAGTGCAAGGTTGTTGAAAGCTCCCAAAATCCTTCAAAGCCAGGGGGTTTTCCCCCCAAACAGAGGGTTTGGGATGACGGGGCAGCATCATCCGTTCCCCCTGCATCCCGATGTGAGGCATCCCTGGGGCACTGGCAGGGCAGGGCCAGCCGGGGTCACGGATCGATGGTGGATGCAGGGATGGAGCTGCTGGGATGCAGGGCCTGGTGATGTTCCCCTGGGAAAAACAAACCAGCCCCAGCACAAACTCAGCCTTGCCTGGGCTGATTAATTTTCTGGCTGAGCCTTACGGGCAACGCTGGGGAATGATTTTCCCCCAGGAGCTGAGCATCCCTCTCCAGTCTGTGGTACCACCCTTACCCCATCAACCCCTCCCAGTGGGGCTTGGGGGGATGCAGGGGACACGGTGACAGGGGATTGGGATGGGATATTTGGGGTCAAATGAGATGGGGCACCAGAGGAAGCCATGCATGGATTATCCCACTTTAGTGCTGGCAGCAAAAATGGGGGATACTGGGAAAGGCTTGTGAGGTGCACATAGGAGAGCCGTACAAATAAATCCCATGGGATCTGGTGCAGCATCATGGGAAGCTGGGAGTACCCCAGTACTGAGCTAAGGGGGGCATTTGCCTGCTGGAGTTGGCTTTGTCCTGGGAAGGGTGACTTGTGCCTTAGGAATTCCCAAGCTGAGCGTGGGGCGGAAGCTGGGGTGGGAGGGAGCAGCAATGTCCTGCATCCTCCGGAGCAGGCGGAAAGCCCTTCCTGTGGCAGGGAAGGAGGCAAAATGTTCTCTTGGCTCAGCTTCCTGGTGATAACCTGGGATTGTTGTTTTTGTCTTGGGAATGGGGTTTTTTTTCTCACAGTCAGTGAGGTTTTGTGGAGAAGTAGCACCTGGGGTTGAGTCATTTCCCAATTTCTTCCCTCTCCCATGGGCAGGTGTCTCCTTGGCCGTGCTGGAGGTGCATGTGGGGACGAGCCTGGTGTTCTCTGTGGAGGGGCAGCAGGCAGTGCTGCCTGTCTGGTACACCAGCCACTCCCACAAAGAGCCCTACATCACCTGGATGCTGAACAAGAAACCTGCTCCCTTCCAGGTGAGAAGAGGGCAGAGGCTGCAGGACTGGAGATGGAGGGGGCCAAGGTGGTCAGTGACCATGGAGGGGTGCTGGTGGTGCCCATGATGGGGGGAAGATTATGGTGCCCACCATGGGGCAGTGGCCACAGTGCCTGTGGTGGATGGATGCCCATGATGATGAGGTGGCCATGATGGAAGGAAGCTCATGGTGCTCACCATGATGCTCACGATGGGATGGCACTCATGGTGCCCATGCAGGGAAGATGCCCACAATGGGTAAATGCCCATAAGGGGGGGGAACCTCATGATGGCCCACAATGGATAAATGTGCATGGTAAGGATGTGGTGCCCGTGATGGGGAGATGCCCACAAAGGGGAGATGCTCATGGTGGGGACGTGCCTATGGGGAGATGTGTGGGGTTCTCACAGTGGGGGCATGCTTGTGGTGCCCATGGTGGAGAGTTGGCCCATGATGCGGTGAAGTTCATGGCACCCACCATGGAGAGGTGACCACCATGGGGGACATGCTCATGGTGCCCATGATGGGGACATACCCATGGTGCCATCCCCATACCAACGGGGAGCTGCTTGTAGTGCCCATGATGGGGTGGTGTCCACGATGGGGGAATCTCATGGTGCCCACCATGGGGGGTACCCTTGATGGGGGGTGCTCATGGTGATGTGTAGATGCCCACAATGAGGTCATGCCCACAGTGCCTGCAGTGGGGAGGTGCTTGTGGTGCCCACAGTGGGGAGACACAAGATGGGGAGATGCCTATACAGGGAGGTGTTTGTGGTGTCCATGGTGGGAAATGCTTACACTGGGGAGATGACTGGAGATGACTGTGGTCCTCATGATCAGGAGGTGCCCATGCTGAGGAGGTGCTCATTGTGCCCGTAAGGGAAGATGCCCACACTGGGGTCATGCCCAGGGTGCCTGCAGTAGGGAGGTGCTCGTCGTGCTCACATTGGGGAAGTACCCATGGCAGGGGAGATGTCCTTGAAAATGCCCATGGTGCCTACAATGGGAAAATGTCGACAATGGGGGCACCACTTTTGGTGCTCGTGATGGGGAGATGCTCATGATGGGACAATTGCTCATAGTGCCCATGCCAGGGGTATTTGTGCCTGTGGTGGGGAGCTGCCTGCAGTTCCCATGTCCGGGATGCTCAGCAGAGGTAAGGCTGGAGGGGGCTTATGCAGCAACCACTGCTCTACAAAATTTGGGATTTTGGGGGGCTTTTCTCTCCAGCAGCATGATCTGGAAGCAAAAGCATGTGTTTTTTCCCCTGTGCAGATCCTGTCAGTCATAGGCGGGGTGGTGAAGGTGGAGGAGACAGATCTGAAGTCCCGCGTGGGGTTCCTGTACCCCATCGAGACCCACAACATCTCGCTGTTCATCAACGCCAGCCGGGAGCAAGACTCGGGTCAGTACATGTGCACTGTCAACGTGGTGGATGACATCATCAGGATGCACAAGAACGTCGGCCTCATCAACCTCACTGTGCTGGGTAAGGCTCCCCCAGTCCCGCTGGCGCCCTTGGAGCTCCCCATGGTGTCCCTCAGGACTAACATGTGTGCCCACAGTGCCACCAGCCACCCCCACCTGCCAGCTGCATGGCAACGCCGTTGTGGGGGCCAACGTGACCTTGAGCTGCTCCTCCAAGAAGGGGAAGCCCTCGCCCATGTACCAGTGGCAGCGTGAGCCACCCACCCTGCAGGTCTTCTTTCCCCCTGCCCAGGGTAAGGTGGCACCAGTGTGGGGCTGGGGAGGGGGCTGGAATATCCTGAGAAGATTCAGATTTCATCCCCTTCATCCCTGGCTTCATCCCCTTGACCACTTCCTGCACGAGGAGGTGGAGGGTGTAGAAGTGGCTTTGAGGCAGCACCCAAATTTCTCACCTGCAGACCGGGCCAAGGGCACCCTCAAGCTGACCAACCTCTCCCTGGAAATGTCGGGGGTCTACGTCTGCAGGGCTGAAAACCAAGCAGGTTCTAAGAACTGCAGCATTGTCCTGGAGGTACAATCAAGTGAGTACGTGTCCACAGGGTCGGGGAGGGGGACACAGTCCCCATGAGGTCCCTGTGGGAATAAGGCAATAAGGGAATCTCTGTCTCTCTCTGGCAGCAAGCACCAAAGCAGTCATCGCCGGTGCCGTGCTGGGCTCTCTGGGTGCCCTTGCCACCATCATCTTCTTTGCCCAGAAGTTTGTTGGCTACAGGAGGAAAAAACGTGACAGCCAGGAGGAGGGAGCCAATGAGATCAAGTGAGGCACTCTTCCTGTGGAGGGGGTTCAAATCATCATTAGGTTTCAGGGTTAATGGGCAAGGAGGGTGTGTGCACCTCTGGCCCATCATTTCTCAGGTTCAGAGTTAATAGTGGGGAAGAGTTCTTCATCTCTGGCCAGGCATCAATATGCTCCAGAGGCAACAATCAGGAAGAAAGTTTCCACCTGTGGCCAGTGGTCATGAGGTTTCAGATAATTCTGAAATTGCTAATGCAAGGGGATTTTCCACCTCTGTTTTCCCCTTCCTCTTTTGTCCCTCTGTTTGGGGGTCCAGGATGTCTGCACAAGCTCACTGCTCAGGGAGAGTACGCTGTGGGGGGGATGGAAGGGTTCCCAGGGCTGATCTCTGTGATGCTCTCCCCTCTTGGCAGGGAAGACGCCGTGGCACCCAAAACCCCATCGTGGGCGAGGAGGCCAGCCTCAGACACCATGTCCAAAACCAGCACCCTGTCCTCCATCGCCGGCACGCGGCAAGGCTACGGAGCCAGAGCCCCCTCGGACACCGCCTCCATCCTCACCACCACCGGCAGCTACCGGGGCCCCCCGGCCCGGGCAGGGGCACGGCCCCCCAGCCTCTCCCCCCCCGCCGTTAACGGGACCCCCCGGCGCCGCCCGGAGCCCCCCGCCGCTCCCGGGGCCTCGCTGCCCCCCTCCAGCCTGGCACGGGCCGGTGCCGTTCCAGTCATGGTGCCAGCGCAGAGCCGAGCGGGCTCCTTGGTGTGAGCACCCCCCAAAAACAGCGGTGCCCACAGCCAGCCCATCCCACTCCCTGATTCCTGGGGTGGTTTTGGTCCCTTTTTTGGGTTTCCTTTTCTTTTTGACAGATGCCTCGAGCAGCTGGACTCATCGTGGGTGTGTTTAATGGGTGCAGGGGCTCTCTGCGTTTGGAGGGACCGAGTCTCCCCATAAATATCACCCCCCAAACCAGCCCCAGCCCTGCCTCAGGGGGTCCCCTTCTTATGATTTTTTTTTCTATATCTATATATCAGGTGAAATGAGGGATTTTTTCACAAAAGAAAGTGGGGTGGGGGGAGGGGGGGTGATGGGGACACACACACACACACACACACACTTTTTTTAGGGGTTTTCTGATTAAAAGCTGCTGCGCTGCCCAGCACCGGCGCTTTGGGTGAGTTTGTGCGGATTTCGAGGCGGGGTGGGATGTCCCAACCTTCTGGGTGATGTCATAGGGCAGGGTGATGTCACAGTGCACCAGCCAAGCTCCTCAGGGTGAGGTGACATCACAATGCACGTGTTGTCACACCCATGACCGTGATGTCACACCCATGACCGTGATGTCACTCCCTGTGTCAGGACATACAATGCCACAATGAGTGTGTGACATCACAGCACCTGACTGAGGCCTGGATGATGCCATACAGGCATGTCACATGTCCATCAGGGATGTCACACTTACCATCACACAGCAGGGATGTGACACGTGCCTGTATGATGTCACACCCACAGTCACGCCTGGTAGTGACATCACACACAGTGGAACGATGTCACTCCAGCCATCACACACACCTGTACAGTGTCACACATCCAGCAGTGATGTCACACACACCTGTATGGTGTCACACACACCTGTATGGTGTCACACACCCAGCAGTGACATCACACACACCTGTATGATATCAAACACACCTGTACAGTGTCACACACCCAGCAGTGACGTCACACACACCTGTATGGTGTCACACACACCTGTATGGTGTCACACACACAGCAGTGATGTCACACACACCTGTATGGTGTCACACACACCTGTACAGTGTCACACATCCAGCAGTGATGTCACACACACCTGTATGGTGTCACACACACCTGTATGGTGTCACACACCCAGCAGTGACGTCACACACACCTGCATGGTGTCACAGCAGCTGTCACTTGTGCAGTAGTGACATAACCACCCTTCTCATGCCAGCACCTCCCAAGTCATCTCCCACCCACGAGTGATGTTACAGCACACCCTGATGTCACATCCCACACCTGGCAGTGATGTCACACGTGCCTGCAGCATGTTGTACACACACATGGGAGATCCCTGCTGGCACCCCCTGCCCCACAGCCCTCCCACCCCTGCCCGCTGTGACCTCACCGCTCTGCCGGTGGCATCAGAAGGCACCGAGGACAGCCCGGGGCTCTGGCAGGGGCGTTTATTGGGGCCGGGGGTGTCTGGGGTGGGAGGGGGCAGCCAGGGACAGGGGCAGGGCCTGGCTGTGGGGGGACCCCGGGGGATGCATGCGGGGGGCAGGGGGTGAAGCGGGGGCTCCTGGGCCTCGGCGGGCAGCGCTGGGAGGGGGTCGGTGGTGAGGGGTTTCCACTGAGCAGCTGGTGGCCCCTGCAAGCAAGGAGAGAGGGAGAGGTCAGCCTGGGCATGGCCCTGCCTGTACCCTGCACCCTGTACCCTGCACCCTGTGCCCTGCCTGTACCCTGTGCCCTGCCTGCACCTTTAGTGCTCTCTGCACCCTGTGCCCTGTCTGCACCATGCACCGTGCTCTGCCTGTACACTGAACCCTGAGCCTTGTTTATACCCTGTGCCCTGCACCCTGCCTGTACCCCTGAGCCTTGCCTGTACCCTGTGCCCTGCTTGCACCCTGCACCCTGTGCCCTGCCTGTTCTCTGAACCCTGAGCCTTGCCTGTACCCTGTGTCCAGTCTGCACCCTGCACCCTGTACCCTGCCTGTTCACTGAACCCTGCACCCTGCCTGTACCCTGTGCCCTGAGTCTGGTTTGTACTCTGTGCCTGCCTGCACCTTTAGTGCTCTCTGCACCCTGTGCCTGCCTGCTCCCCATGCCCTGTCTGCACCCTGCAGCCTTCACCCTGCCTGTACCCTGTGCCCTGACTGCACCCTGCCCACACCCTGCACCCTGCTGTCGTGCTGCTCCTGCAGCCTGCACCCTCTCTGTGCCCTCCCCCTGCCCACACCCTGCCCATGCTCTACTTGCAGCCCGCCCACACCCTGCCTGCACCCTTGTCCTGCCTCCACTGCTGCCCACACTCTGCCCTCACCCAGCCCAGGAACCTGGGGGGGACCCCTGCATGCACCCCCCTAGGCAGAGCACCATGGCAGAAGGAGGGGAGCCCGGCTCCCTTGCTGCCAACCTGCTCAGCCCCCTAACAAAGCATCCCAAAGGAACATCTGGGCCCTAAGAAGCTGCACAGCACCTACACTTGGCAGCTGCTTCCTCACTGCAGCCCTCTGACATCCTCACTGCAGCCCCAGTGCATCCCTGCTCAATCCTCACTGCAGCTCCAGTGCAGCCCCAGTGCATCCTCCCTCAATCCTCACTGCAGTCCCATTGAATCCCCATCTCCAGTTTGTTCCTATTGCATCCTCACTGAATCTCTGTTGCTTCCCCACTGCATCCCCAGTTCATCCTCACACATCATCACTGCATCCCCCCTTTGCAGCCCCACTGCAGCCTCACTGTATTTCCATATTGTCCCCACTGGATCTTCACAAAATCCCCACTGCATCCTCAGTTCATTCTCATCCCAGCCCCACTGATTCCCTCTCCATCCTCAGTGCATGCTCACTGCATTTTCACTGTCTCTCCAGTGCATTCTCACTGCATCCCCACTGCTTCCCCACCACGTCTCAGTTCTGTTCCCACTGTACCCTCAGTTCATCCCCACTGTGTCCCAGCTGAGCTTCACTTCCATCCCCACTGCATCCCCAGTTCCTTCCCACTGCAGCCTTGTTGAATCTTCACTGCATCCTCACTGCATCCTCCTCTTCCTCCCTACTGCATTCCCGCTGCATCTTCAGTCCATCCCCACTGTATCTGCACTGAATCCCCATTGCACTCCTACTCCATCCCCACTGCGCCCCAGTCTCATCCCAGCTGCACCCCATTCTCATCCCAGCTGCACCCCATTCTCATCCCAGCTGCACCCCAGTCTCATCCCAGCTGCATCCCAGCTCCATCCCCACTGCACCCCAGTCTCATCCCAGCTGCACCCCAGTCTCATCCCAGCTGCATCCCAGCTCCATCCCAGCTGCACCCCAGTTCCATCCCAGCTGCACCCCAGTTCCATCCCAGCTGCACCCCAGGCTCATCCCAGCTGCATCCCAGTTCCATCCCAGTCTCATCCCAGCTCCATCCCAGTCTCATCCCAGCTGCACCCCAGGCTCATCCCAGCTGCATCCCAGCTCCATCCCAGCTGCATCCCAGCTGCATCCCAGCTGCATCCCAGCTCCATCCCAGCTGCATCCCAGCTCCATCCCAGCTGCATCTCCCCCAGCCCCGCCACACTCACGTGGCCGAGCCGGCAGCGCGCCCTCCCCGCCGCTAACCCCGAACCGGCCCCGCCGCTCTCCGGGGCCATCCCGCGCTCACGGCGCAGGGCACGGCCCGGGCACGGCGCAGCCACCACCGGGGCTCCAATGCCACGCGGCCTCGGCACCGTGGGCGCTTTTTAAATTTACCTTTTCCTGCCAGGAGACTGTGACACAGGCTTTTAAAAATAGCATGTGCTGAGGCGAGGCGCTCGGGGTGGTGTTGCTAAGGGAGAGATTCAATCCAAATCTAGGGCTGCGCCTTCCCATCCTACTTCCCATCCTTCCCAACTACTACGGCGCGCACCCAAATTTAGGGCAAGGCAGGGGCTGCCTGCCTGTGTGTTTCCATCTCCTGGGAGGAAAAACCCCTTCTCCACCCTGAACCAGTGTGGGGAAGGTTGCTCCATCCCAAATCTGCACAGGGAAGGAAGCTCCATCCCGTATCTGTGCAGAGCAGAATGCTCCATCCCAAATCTCTGCAGGAAAGGATGCTCCATCCCAAATCTGCACAGGGAAGGATGCTGCATCCCATATCTGCACAGAGCAGAATGCTCCATCCCAAATCAGAATGGGGAAGGATGCTCCATCCCAAATCAGCTTGGGGAAGGATGCTCCATCCCAAATCTGCACAGGGAAGAATGCTCCATCCCAAATCTGCACAGGGAAGAATGCTCCATCCCAAATCTGCACAGGGAAGGATGCTCCATCCCAAATCTGCACAGGGAAGAATGCTCCATCCCAAATCTGCACAGGGAAGGATGCTCCATCCCATATCTGCGCAGAGCAGAATGCTCCATCCCAAATCAACAGAGCAAAGGACACTCAGAGCAGATCCTTACAGAAATGACCCAGTTTTGGGGGGAAGAAGCGGGATTTGGGGGGTACCTAGTCGCCGTTGCGGAGGTCGCCGCCGCGGGTGCTGTTGGCGCACTCGGCGTCCTTGGTTTTCCGATCAATCTCGCCCCCTTTGATCTTCTTGCGGGTCATATGGCCACGGAAACTAGCCTGGATCTTGGCAGCTGCCGCGTTGGCATCGGGATCGTCCAAAGGGATGTCCAGGATGTCCTCGTCCAGCTTTGTGCAGGCTCCCTCCTGACGGTGACAATGGCAGGGTTACAGCTGCTGGCACCTCAAACAGCGCAGCCCCCTCCCCAAATGAATCCGTTCATGATGGTCTTAAATGAGCCCCTGTTCTAAAAATTAGGTTTACTCATTAAAAAATTGGGTTCCTTTGCTAAAAATGAGGGGTTTGCTAAAAATCAGGGTCACTTGCAGGTGTCTTGGGGAAATGGCAACCCTGGACCACACGGCTGCAGGAAGCCAGACTCCAGCCAGGGTTATGATGCAGGGAGAGGAAAATCCATGGGAGCAGAGGATGGGTTCTGGGGGGTATTTTTGGCAGAGGGCTGGGGGCCATCCTGCACAAAATGAGCTGGTCATGCCTCAGTTTCCCCTTTCCTCATAGCTTGTTGCATCCTCCTGCATCCCTCCTCAGCGCTTTGGTTGGAAACATCAGGAAATTTGGGAAAGCAGTGACTCCAGAAGGGAGGAAAAGCCCCACCAAGGACAAATCACTGTAACCCATTCCCCTCCTGCCACATCCCACCAGAGCAACTGGACTCAGCAACAAGTTCAATGGGAAAAAAAGAAAAACATGGGAAAATGAAATGAGGTGGAAATGAGCTGGCATTGGATGATCCAGGGCCAGCAGCTGTGGGGGTGAAGCCTTTGTGTTGCCCCACGAGCACTTAAAGGAGTTTTGGGGGGCTTGTTTGGAAGCTGTAGATTCGGGGGGGAAGAAGCTCATCCCATTGGCTCCACCAAGTTGCTCAGGTTGTTTTACCATTGTGAAAGGTGAGGATGGGTCCAAGGTGGAAATGATATGTCCAAGGTGGAAATGATATGTCCAAGGTGGAAATGATATGTCCAGGGTGGAAATGTTATAGCCAGGGCTGGAAATCCTATAGCCAGGGGAAGGAAATCCTATATCTAGGAAAGAAATCCTATATTCAGGAGAGATATCCTATATATGCAGAGGTGGGGGAGAACAACCTATATCTAGGGGAGAAATCCTATATACAGGTGGGAGAAACCTATATCCAGGGAAGGAATAGTATATCTGGAGAAGGAAATCCTATAGTCAGGGGAGAAAACCTGTACATGGAGGGGCATATCCTATATCCAGGCAAGAAATCCTATATCCAAGAGAGAAATCCTATATTAGGAGAGAGGAAATCCTATATCCAGGGAAGAAATACCATATACAGGTGGAGGAAATCTATATATGCGGGGGTATTTCCTATATCCAGGGGAGAAATCCTATATTTAGGGGAGAAATCCTATATTCAGGGAAGAAATCCTACATACAGGTGGCAGAAACCTATATCCAAGTTGAGAAATCCTGTATATAGGTAGGAAAAACATATATTCAGAAGGAAAAAATCCTATATCCAGGGGAGACATCCTATATTCAGGGGAGAAAACCCACAAACCCACAAACAGGGGGCCATATCCTATATTCGCAGGAGAAATCCTATATCCAGTCGAAAAACACCATATCCATGGGGTGAAAATCTCTATGCAGCTGATGAAAACTTGTATCTAAGGGAGAAATCCTATATTCAGAAGGAGAAATCCTATATAGGAGGGAAAAAGTCCTATACATAGGGGAGAAATCCTATATCCAAGCTGGAAAAATCCTATATCCAGGCAGGAAAAATCCTATATCCAGGGTGGGCTTTGCCTCTCTGGAGGTGCCCAAGAGGAGAGATGGGGGCTTTTCCCTGTGCTGCTGTCTTAGCAGGTGGAGGAAAATGGGGAAAAGTGGGGAAAGAGGAAAAAAAAAGGGGAAAGGGGGAGGAAAAGGGGGAAAGGGGCAGGAAAAGTCAGGGGGTCAGGGAGAAAGGGGAAAAGGATGTGGTTTTCTCCCCAAGCCGGCTGGTGGCCAGAAGGGAGGGGAGCTCACCCTCGGGTGAGGAGAGAGGGGTGCAACCCCAATGAAGCCCTTTATCCATGGGCAACCCCCGATCCCACCTGTAGAGCAATTGTGGGGTGGGGGGGAAGAAAAAGCTCAATAAAAGCTGGATTAGAGGACGGGGGGATTTTCCTCAGGGGGCTCTGGGGTGCAGGATGCTGGCCGGGCTCTGGCCCCGGTGGGATGGAGTCCGAACCGGTGTGAGGCAGGAGCGGGGATCTGGGCGGCTGGGGGCAAGAAGAGCCTGGGGGCTGCAGCAGCGCTGGGGGTCGCGGAGTTGGTTGAGCTCTTGGTGGGTGCAGCACCCCCCGCACCCCCGCCCCCAGCACCCCAAACCCCCCCAAACCCCCCCAAACCCCCCGGCCGCCCCCAGCCCGGGGCAGTGACCAGGGATCAAAGGCAGGAGCGGGAGCAGGGCCGGGGGAAGGAACGGGACCTACATTGCAGCAGTCCATGGCGGAGGGCGGGTGGGCGGCCAGCGGCGGGCGAGGGGCTCCGGCAGGATCTCGCTTCCCCGGCAGCTCTCCCGGCGCAGGTGGCAAGTTGAGCGGAGCCGCTTGCCTACGTAATGCGCTTTCCTCCGGGCGAGCCTATCAGCCCGACACCCCTGCCAGGCTTTTGGGGGGGAAGGAGGGGTGCCTTATTTTTTTTTCCTCCCTTTCTCCTTTTTTTTTTTTTTTAATTTTTTTTTTTTTATTTTCCCTCCTCCAATTTTATTTTGCAGCCTCCAACTCCCTCCTAACACTTAAAGGAGCCGGCAGCTCGCTTTGGAGTTTCGTGGAACACAACATCACATGCAGAGGATGCGAGCCAAGATGTGATGAGCCTTGCCTTTGGCGTGGAGGGTTTTTTGGGGGACAAAGCTATAGCAAATGGGGGTAATGGGTTCATTTTTGGGGGGTACATGACCCACAGTCATGCTGGAGGCAGGTTTTGCCCCCCGGGTTGGTTTGCACGGGGGAAAAAAACCTTCTTGACCTACTTAGGACTTGGTCCTGAAGGAGGGTGAGGATGAGGATGGAAAGGATGAAGATGGTGAGGGAGGGTGGGCATGATGGGACACAGTGTCCCACCGAGCATCTGCAGAACCCCGGAGCTGATGTGCCCAGCTGCAGGCTCCAAGCAGAGGAGTGGGCTCCACTTTGGGGGTCTGGGGGTCCCTTCCCCACTCACAGGAGCATCTGCCCCCCCCACATTTGGGGTGTTCTCCAACCAGACCTGCAGTCCCAGCCACTTGCACACCCTCGGTGCTCCCTGCAGACCCTGCTGCCACCCCAGACCACGTCGAGGTGCTGGGGCTGGCCGGGTGAGCTGGGGCACCCCGGGAATCAGGAGGGACCCCCAGGGCAATGCAGGGGGCTGCAGCCCACAGCCCCCCCATCGCCTGCCTCGCTCGCCTCTAATCCGGGTTTGGGAGTTGCTAAGCAACTGCACAAGTCGCCCGTGGGCTCCGCGCCGAGGCTGCTCCAGCCAGCCCCCAAAACACAGCCTGGCCCCCCCAAGGCAGACACAGCACCCCCGGCCCACCCGCACAGCCGGGCCCCACTGCCTCTCCCTGGCCAGGTTTGCTCACAGGGGTCATCCTGCCTGGGGGCCTGGTGGCACTGACCTTCCTCTTTGCCACCACCATCATCTTCATCATCACCTCCGTTCGCATCCCTGTCCCACTGACATCACTGTTTCTGGCACTGAAATGGGCACTGTCCCCTCTGCTGCCACCAGCCCTGTGCCCATTCCTGACCTCATCCCCATCACCTCCACCACCTTCTTCATCCCTACCATCATCCCTGTCCCCATCTCTATCATCATCCCTGTCGTGCTCCCTATCCCACTTCTTGTCCCCATCCTCTTCATAATGCCAATCCCTGCTCCCATTCCCAGCTTCAACCCCATCACCCCTGTCCCCATCCCCATCATCACCCTCATCCCTGGCCCTGTCCCCTGCCATATCACCATCCTTGTTCCCATTCCCATGCCATCTCCTTCTCTTTCTCCAGGGCCACTCCTGCTGGGTGCAGGTGGTGGCACCTCTTGTCCCCTGACACCACAGCTCCCAGGACACTCTGCTCCCCATCCCACTCCACCCCATCCCAGGCACATCCCACCACTGCCACCTCCCTCAGCTGCTTCACCCACACTTGGAGGTTGATGGGGGTCAGCCCTGCCCCAGCACATGCCAGGCACCCAATTGCCCCCTTGGGAAATGCTCCCAAGCATCCCTCAAATTCCCCTGGGAGCCACCCAGCTCTCCCACTGGAGCCACTTTTCCACCATCACTTCTTTCCACCAGCACTCCAGGGTGGGTGGGGGTGGGGGGTGGGAATAGCTCTGCTCCAGAAAACCCTGCTGCAGCTTCCAGGAGAAGCCTTGGCAGCTCTGCTGGGATTTTTGATGGGAAGAGATCCTTCCCTGGATTTTAGACCCTCCAGATCCATCACTGCCTGCTCCAATGAGGAAGACCAGGTGTTTGTTAAGTGGGAAGGGTTTTTGGGGTGATCGATCTGAGTCAATCATTAGGGGTCATAGATCTGAGAAGTTAGCCCCAAAATTAGGATTAGTCCCTCAATTAGCCCCCAGAATCTGCTCCCTCCGTGGCAGCCGGGTCCTGGCAGAGCCGCCGAGCGCCGCCGTCTCCCGCAGGCTGTGGCTGCGGAGGAGGGACGCGAAATGCCAGAACATTTCTAATCATTAATGGCGGTTTTGAGCCTGTTCCAGGCTCTGCATTTTTCCTCCCTGGACCCCTTCATCTGAAGGATGCTTTTTCAGGTGCTCCAGCACCTCCAAAATTTGAATTCCAAGGAAGCAACTCAGATTTTGGAAGGGGAGAATGAGAAGTGCAGCTGGTGAGACCTGCTGAGAACATCCCGCCGTCGTGGTTTGAGATGGTGGCACCGAGGTGTTAAAAAATCCTTTAAAAACAGGGAAAAAATCCTTAAAAGAAAAGGGAATTGGATGCTGGAAGGATGCCCTGGGCGGGCAGTGTTGCCGGCTGCCGAAGCAGGAGCCGGCAGCCAGCGAGGCGGTGCTGGAGGGGGGGTCAAGGCGTAGCTGGTTGGCATCAGCCCCGGCACGGGGTCCCCGCCAGCTTTTTTTCCCCATCCCTCCTTCCTGTTTTTCCCGGGGGAGCCGCTGTCATGCCCCGTGCCGTGGGCGAGCACCACATATGGCGATGGAAAACAGGAAAGAGGGGGTAAAAACGGGGTGAGCATGGATGGGGGGGTTCAGTCCTCTCCAAAAATAGAGCAGCCGGCTTCAACGCAAACCCTACTTTTTAGGGGGGATTTTAAACCATACTGTATTGGAAAATATGTATTTCACAGGTAGGAATAGGAGTGGGGGGCTCTTGTGTGCCCCCCAGAATTCCATGGAGGTATCTCAGCTTATGGAGGGGGGTAGGAGAGGAGCAATGTCACATCATTCCTTCACGCTGGGATGTTATGAAGTTTCTTCCATCCTCCAGGGATGCAGGGGCCTAAATATAGAGGCTAAAAATATCATCCCGTACCCAGCTCAGCCCCAAACTCAGGATTTTTCGGGGAGAAATCTCAGGTGATCGACATTAATAACAGCGGGGACCTCGTTAATAAAATTCCTCATTAAAACAGCACCGCAGGGGCAGGATGGGAGTGGAGCACCCACCCACGGGAAAAGGGCAGGAGCCAGGGGAGGACCAAGGGGTTTTTTTTAGTTTTGGGGTTGGACAGTGGGAAATGGGGGATTTGGGGCAAGTGCTGCGGTTGCATCTCTGGAGAGGTGTCCCAGTTCGCGAGGGTTATGGGGACATGCTCCCCTTTGGCTCCTCTCCACACATTTTGGGGCAGAATCACAGTGATCCAGAGCTGTGCGTGCTACCTGCCCCCCTGGTGCTGCCTGCTACCCCTCCATGTCCTTGGCCTCTTTCAGGTCCTGGAGGAAAGAAGAAAATTTAGATGCTGTGGCACAAGGGGGGCAGGGACAGGGTGGGAGCAGGGACCAAGTGTGGCTCTTGGCACCTGAATGGAGGGCAGCCTACCGTGGAAGGAGGCCAGGTGAGACGGTCGTCCTCCAGCATGGCTCCCCACGCCACCGGGTCAATGCCACTAGCTGGGGAAGGAGGAGACTTGATGCCACATGCAGTGGGCACCTGGTACCACGGGTGATGGGCACATGGGACATGCACAACATCCAGGGTGATGGCACAAATGGAAGGCCCGATGGCCGTTGGTGGTGGACATTTGAGACAGGCACAAGGCTGTGGGCAATGGGCACAAGGGCAGGTTTGGGCACACAGGAGAGGCCTGATGGCCATTGGTGGTGGACATTTGGGACAGGCACAAGGCCATGGGCAAGTTTGGGCACACAGGAGAGCCCTGCTGCTGTAGATGGTGGGCACAGGGGGCAGGACTGACACCCTGGGCAAGGGGCACATGTGGCAGGCCTGACGCCCTGCTGATGGGCAGATGGGGCAGGCTGGGCAAGCAATGCAGCGTGGGGCAGAGCCGGCAGTGTGGGGGTGCCTGCTGGGCAAGGCCACTCACCCTCTCTGCTCTCCAGCAGCTTTTGGAAGTACTGCGCTGCAAAGGCCACCACGTCGGTGGGCTGCTCCCGCAGCACTTCCCGCGTCAGCCCCTCCAGCAGGTTCCGGAAGCCGGCGGGCACCCTCATACTGGCGTTGGAGGCGGCGATGGACATGGTCGCTTCTCCTGGACCCTCTGCAGCGGTACAGCCCGGGATTAACCACAGCCCACAGCGCCCGGTTCCACCGGGCAGCGCCGGGACTCGAACCCGAGGACCAAAGCCTCAGGGGGCCAGAGCCGCCGCTAGGGGGAGACACGCTCCCTGCCCGCCGCGCACGCGCGCCGCCGCCTCTCTCTGCGCGCGCGCGGCCCCGGCCTGGGCGGGGTGAGCGGGCGCGGGGGGGCCGCGGCTCTCGTTCCCCGGTGTGCCCCGGCTCCTCTACTCCGGTGTGCCCCGGCAACCCTCGGCCCCGCGCTCCCGGCCTTTCTCTCTGCCTCTCCCGTCAGAGCAGGACGGGGCCGCGCCTGCACCTCAGGCAGTGCTGCGGACGCCGTCGCTTGGCAACCGCCCCCACCGCCATGGGCGGGGCGTGCCCAGGCCCCGCCCCCTCGCGCCGGGCCCGCCTGAGGGGCGGGGCGGGCCGGGGGTACCGGGGGGCACCGGACGGTACCGGGCGGTACCGGCCCGTACCGGGGAGTACCGGGGAGTACCGCGGGTCCCGGCGCCCTCGCAGTCCGCTGTGCCCCCAGGATGGCGGCGTGTGCGCTGCTGGCGCTGCTGGCTTTGGCTCCGGCGGCCGCAGGTAAAGGGCTGGGGAAGGTCACCTCCGACCCCCCAGCCCCGCGGGCATCCTCTGCAGCCGGGCCCTGGAGCGAGCCTCCCCTGAGACCCCCCGAGACCCACTTCGGGGCAGCTGGCACGGCCAGAACCCCTGGCATCACAGCAGCCCGGCTCCGATGCCCAGGGAATTCCCCAAGCCCTCCCAAGCCCTAATTTGGTGCCCTTTGCACGCTCCGAGCCTCGTATGTGCATTGGCACTTCCCCAGCCCCGCTTTTCGCGTGCCCCTCTTGGCACCTCCTGTAAATCCTCCCAGCCCCACTTTGATACCCTTTGAACCCCCAGCCCCTCTTTGATGACGTTGGCACTGCTCTGAGCCCCACTTTGGGGGCCTTGGTGCCCTCCCAGCCCCACTTTGGGGCCCTTGGCATCCCCTTTAGCCCAGTTTTTATGCCTTTATTAACCCCTCACCCATCTTTCACACTCTGCACCCCCAAGCTCTGCTTCTGTGCCCTCTGCACTCCCAGAGCCCCGGTTTGACACCCTCTGCACACCCTGAGTCCCACTTTGACAAGCATGGCATCCCCCCAAGCCTCAGTTCAGTGCCCTTCGCATCCCCTGAGTCCCACTTTGATGCCCTTCACACCCCCAGCCCCTCCCCAGCGCCCTTGGCCCAGCTCTGCTGCCGTGGGACGATGCTTTACGTAAGGTGGGAGCCGCATGCGGCTCCTTGGTGGTGTCTCGTGGGCTCTCCTCCCTTCCCTCCTCCCTTCTTCTTCCCTTCCCTCCTCCCAGCTGCTTTTTATAGCTTCCACTCTTCCCTGGCGTCTCAGTTTTAGGTTTTTTTTTCTCCTCCGACTTGTTTTTTATATAACTCGCGGAGCCTTGTGGCATGAGGCAGCGGGACCAGCGATGCAGCTGACTCCTGAGGGGCCGAGGACATCCTTCCTTTCCTTTCCTTCCTAAAACCCAGCCTAGGATGAGCTGCAGAGGAGATGAGGATCCATGAGCTCTGCTTTGGTCACCAGGGTTCTCTGCCCAGATCACCCCTCACACATTACTTCTGACCCCCTTTTCAAATATGATTTTCTTTTCACCCTGTAAAAATGGGGCTTTGAGGGTGCCAGGGCTGAGCCTTCTCCTTCCATCTCCACTGAAGGTGCCTTTGCCAATGCTGCACATCCAATGTTTTCCATCCCACCTTTGACAAACCTTTTTCCAAGGGAAAAATACATCAGAACATTCATTAGCAAGGCTGGGCTGGGAGAGACACTCCCATGCTGTTATTAGAGGTATTTTTACCAAAATCTGTACCCAAATCCATGTAATACATGATGTAACATGCTGTCTATATTTTAGGAGGTGAATTCCCTCATGTGGAATTTAAATTCTGCCTCTTCCTCAGCTCTGTGGTGGTTTTAACCACCTTAAAGCTGAGCAGGAATCTGTAAATTAGGTGGGATTTCAAAAAACCTGTACTTAAGAGGGGGTCAGGGTGTTTTTCTCTCAGAGCTGATGTTTGCACTGTTTGCTGATTCCAGGGGGAATGCTCAGCTTTGCCTCCTACTATGGTGACCACATGGTGCTGCAGCAGAAGCCCTCAGGGGCTGTGGTGTGGGGCCACGGGGAGCTCGGGGCCATGGTGACCCTGACTCTCTCAGGTGCCAGTGGCCTCGTCATCATGGAGAAAACAGCACAGGTTAAAGGTCAGTCCCAGACTTTCACTGGAAACTGATGGTTTTGGTGGCCAAAGAACTTGTCTGAACCCAAATCAGAGCCAATGCTAGGGTGGGTGAGACAGGGTTTGGCACCACCCCTGTGTTTGTCACACTGCTGCCCTGGAGCTGCAGAGGTGCTGGTGACATTGTGCTTTTCCCTCTCCAGGAGACCTGGGGGGCTCAGCCATTCCCCTCCCCAGCAGTGCAGCCTTTGCTCACTTTGGTTGCCAGCAGTGGCTCCCGTGGGCTCCCAGCAGGAGCCGAGCTGCTGCTGGAGTGGGTGGCACCGCACAGGCTGAGCTGAGCAGAGAGGCTGTGGAGGGGACAGGGGGAATTTACCTTCTCTCCCTGTCTAAACCAGGTCTGAGGAACCTCCAGAGCACTTCCAGGTTCTCTTTTGATCTCTGCCCTGTGGGATCTCGAAGCCCCAAAGGATGTTGCCTGTGCAAGCAGAACCTTCCTGGAGCTGGGAGGGCTCAGGGGCACATCAAACCCCAGCTACATCCCTGCCTGAAGAGTTGGGAGGGAGCTCATCACCTTTGGAGGGTAAAAGTGCTGCCCAAGGGCACCTCCATAAGATGAAGAGCCTGGAGGTGTCTTGTGGGAGAGCAGCAATCCAGGAGATCTGCAGGATCCAGCCAGAAAATCCATGCTAAGCTCCAGCAGAATATCTTTACGCTTCGATTTGGCGCCTCTAAAATTAGCTGGAGACATCTCAGTGTCACACACACCAAGCTGCTCCTGTAATCCCAGTTCCTCCCAGCAGCTTCTGCTCTGACACACATTTGTTTTCCAGGTTTTCTTTTTTAACCCCTAAATTCCTGCAGGAGAAAGGTCCCTCTGATGCCAGAGGGCTTCTGAAATCCATTTCCTCAACCTGTCTCTGTGGTGGAGAAGCTTTTCCTTGTTGCCTGTCCTTCACCACTGGTTGATGGCTGCTCATCCAACATCCTGGTGAAGGTCTTGAGGCTGTCATAAGGGTGGTGGAAGATAAGCACCATCCTCTTCCTCCAGGACCTTCTGGGACTTGGACAACTGTCCTGGACCCAATGGACCGGGGTGGTCCCTATGCACTGACAGCTGAGCAGGGCTTGGAGAACGTGACACTGCGGGACATCTACTTTGGAGATGTGTGGCTTTGCAGTGGGCAGAGCAACATGGCAATGACAGTCCTGCAGGTAAGGCCCCTCAGCACAGATCAGGCAGGAGCAGGTAGGGATCAGGCAGGGAAGCACCCTACATGCTCCTGGCCCTTCTTCAGGTGGCCAATGCCAGCCAGGAGCTCGCTGCCGCCGCTCGCTATCCCTACGTCCGTGTCTTTGCTGCGGCGCCTGCCCGCTCCAGTGTGGAGCTGGAGGACCTGGAGCAGATTGATTTGCCATGGTCCATTCCAACAGCTGGTGAGTGCAATGTGCCTCCAAGAGAGAGCTTGGAAATGGGTTTTTTCCCACTGTCTCCCTTTGCAGCCTGCTGTTTCTTGAGCAGAAAACCTGGGCCACGGGAATTTCACCTACTTCTCGGCCGTGTGCTGGCTGTTGGGGCGCTCCCTCTTTGAGGCTCTGGGGACCCCCATCGGGCTGGTGGAGGTGGCCTGGGGAGGGACCCCCATCGAGGCCTGGTCCTCCCGCCGGGTTCTGAAGGCATGTGGGCTCCCAGAGGACATGGGGAGGTGAGAGAAGGTGCTGTGGAAACACCTCCTGCTGTGTACCACACTGCTTTTGGGGAGTATCCTCATCCCTTCCCACCCCACCTCCTCTCCCAGAGCCTCACAGCCCCTTCTATGCATCATTATACCCCCTCTGGATAAAAACTCCTCCCCATGCCAAAAGCATAAAGCACATCTGGGTGGATAAAGGGAGAAAAGAGGGACCCCAGATCTCCCTTTGCCGTGGTGCTTGCTTTACCCTAAAGGCTGCCATGTGCTTTGTGCCCCCCTTAAACCTAGCTTTGTCTTCCAGCACCTCCCCACATCAGCATCTCTCTGGCCCACAAACGCCCTCTGTGCTCTGGAATGCCATGATCCACCCTCTGCTCAACATGACCCTGCGGGGTGTCGCTTGGTACCAGGGTGAGCCCCCATTTCTGTCCCCTGGGGTGGAGCAGCCCCCACTGTCCCACCGAGCTCTCACCAGCTCTTCTTTTTGGGGGACAGGTGAGGCCAATACCCTCCTGAACACAGACCAGTACAACTGCACCTTCCCTGCACTCATTGCCGACTGGCGCTGGGCGTTCCACACCGGATCAGCCGGACAGACGGAGCCACGTCTCCCCTTTGGCTTTGTGCAGGTGTGGGGGGTGAGGGGTGACATCCCCCGTTGTCCTTGGGGGATGCCCAGGGAGAGGATGCTGTCAACACATATGCATCCTGCCAAGTGCTGAAAATCCCAGGCAGGGAGCACAGCGGCCAGTTTTGGGATCTGAGCCAGTCCCCCATTTCCCTTGTGCCTCACAGCTGTCCACCTACCGCCGTGGGAGTGCAGACGACAGCTTTGCCCGGCTCCGCTGGCACCAGACAGCCGACCTGGGGCTTGTTCCCAATGCCAGGATGCCCAGCACTTTCATGGCTGTGGCCATGGATCTGGGTGATGAGCACTCTCCCTATGGCAGGTGAGTCCTGGGCTGGGGTGAGGGTGTAGGGATGGAGTTTTTGGGTTCCAGCTCCATCTTCCTCCTCTTCCTGGGCAGTATCCACCCCCGGGACAAGCAGAACGTCGCTCACCGACTGCTGCTGGGTGCCATGGCTGTGGCCTATGGGGACAAGGGCCTCGTGTTCCAGGGACCATTTCCCACCCAGGCTGTCCTGGAGGTGACCAGGGGGCTGCTGAATGTCACCTACAGCCAGGAGCTCATCTGGCGTCAGAGGGACGCACAGGCATTTGAGGTGAGGAGTGGGGTATCCTCTCCAAAGAGCTGCAGGAGGGAAGGCAGCACTGATGGGGGTTTTTCCCCTCCCCAGGTGTGCTGTTCCAGCCAGGCCTCCCCGTGCCAGTGGCTGCTGGCACCAGTGGTGGCAGTAGGGTCCCGCACGGTGACACTGGCCCTGAGTGGCTGCAGGACGCTGGTGCTGGGCCTGCGCTATGCCTGGGCCGAGTGGCCCTGTGAGTACCTGGCCTGCCCCCTCTACAACTCCCAGGGGCTGCCTGCACCCCCCTTCCTGCTGGACACCCTCCCTGCAGGGAACACTGCTGAAGGGAGGGAGCTGCTGCTCCTCCCCAGCTCTGGGTTCCCCCTAAATTAGGGAGATGAGTGAGCTCAGACCTCTGGCAAAGCACTCATGGCTCCTGGCACTGTCCCTTCCCAAGCCAGGGAATCATAGACCTCATTACTACCTTATTAATTAAACAAGTTTTCAGCTCCTCTGTGGACTCAAGCCAAGGCTACAGGGTGGGGGGAAGGGGGGAAAAGCCAATTTACAATTAAATACATGAAAAATTATGTAAGGAGAAGCAGCAGGACACACCAATGGGAGCTGAACCCCTCACTGCTGCTCCCATGCCCATGGAGATGGTCCTGGCCCTCCAGATACCCCATTTCTCTGGGTGTGAACTGCTGATCCCCAGGGTAAGGTGCTCACAGGATTCAGGGATCAGCTTCCAGCTGCAAGGTGGAGAGGGGGAGAGAGGAGCTCTGCCAAAAAACCATGGCCAAATACTAAGGCTGGGCTGGGACAGGGAACTGTGGAGGGCTGCAAGTGCCTTCCACCTCCCTCTCTTAATAAAAAGTTAATGAACCAACTCATTTTATTCCTGGATCTCTCATTTTATTCCTAGATCTTTTTTTTCCTTCAGATGAGCATTCCTAATCCTCCATGCCCCACTTCTTGCCAAAAAAGCAGGGAAATTTGTGTGGAAGAGGCACAGTGTGGCACCCAGCACTTAAAAAAAGAGACCCAAGAGGTTCTGCACAAAATATTGATGTTTAACCCTTTTTTGCTGGACAAATGTACATAAGAAGGGAAAGGCCAGGTGCAGGAAACGCAGGTGGGTTCAGCCTGGCTGCTGCAGTAGAGCTGTGTCAGAAGAGTGGATCCTGGGATCAAGGATCCCTGTCTGCTGCTCCTCCTGGGTCAGGCAGAGCCGAGTGAGTCCCGTGAGGCCTTTCCCATTGTTTCCACTCCAGGCTTTGGTTCTAGACAAGGGGAGAAGAGCAGGCAGTTAATTAGCTGGGCAATGGCAGACTGGGATCTGGGTTTTTTCCAGCACCGAGTAACTGGCCCAGGAGCCAGCTGTGCTGGCCCTGGGTTGCCATAGTAACGAGGATGCAGAATCCAGCTCAGTCTGTGGATTTTTTTAAACCATAATTCAGACTGTGTGTTCAGGGCCAGCAGTGAAGCCCAGGCCTCTCATCTCCTACCTGTGGGGCTGGGCTGTCTCACACAGCCTGCAAACCGCTTGCCGTGGGCACCAGGGGTCCCTGTGAGACCCCAGAGGAGGCATCCAGCTCCCCCAACCCCAAAGCACGTGGGAGAGGGAGCAGTGCAGGTCCTGGGAATGTGGTTTTATCTTGGAACCCACCTCCATCTCCACACACAGCACCACTGTGCCCACCAGTGCCATACAAACAGGAGAAGGGGGCGGGCATGGCACCCTTGGCATCAGCGCCCCAGGATTTGAAACTCCCAACCCCACTCCCAGCAGGAAGAGCTGCCAAAAACAGGGACCCTCCCAGCCCTGCAGTTTGCCCAGAGCTTGGATTTAAGCAGCAATCTCTTGGCTTGCTGTTCCTATAGCAACCCCTGCCCACACTTTGGATCGCAGTAGCATCACACTCTGCATGCCAGAACCCCTTCCAGGATTTGTCAGCCCTCACAGTGACCCCCAGCTATGCCCCGGACCCCTTAAGGTCTTGGCAAAGGATTTAGGGTGGTGCAGCCACAGATCAAGGGTGGGATCTTGTGATGTGGGAGCCAGGAGAAGAGGGAAGAAGTTGTCTCTACCCAAAAAGCCTACCTAGGGCTGCACCATTGGAGAGGGCTGTGCTGCCTTCGGCCTCGGGGGTGCAGGATTGGTGTTTGGGCTTGGTGGTCTCCAGCCCAGCCAGCAGCGTCATGAAGTCGATGACAGTATCGATGTCCTCCTTGTTGGCAGTGGCTTCCCTCAGGGCGCTGACGGCATTGAGGCGGCTGAAGGAGGTCAGCTCAGAGATGTTGGCACGGAGGAAGAGGAGGATGATGTTGAGGTCGTTGAGGGGGCAGGTGAGCATCCTGCGACTGAGCAGGTCGAAGGCAGGCAGCATCTCATAGACAGAGAGCAGCCCCTTGTCCCACTGGCAGAGCTGCAGGGCGTTGTAGATGACAACAGGGATGAGGAGGACATAGACACTGCCAACTGAGAGGCTGATGAGCTGGAACACGGAGAAGAAGACCAGCTTGCAAGGGATGAGCGGCGGGATGTGCGGCTCTGCCTCGAGCAACCCCGTTTTGATGGAGCAGCTGAACTCATCCTGGAAGAAGATGTTTAGGTGGAGAAAGACCAGGTAGAGGCAGGTGGCAGCCAAGAAGAGGAGCAGCAGCAGGTTCCTCAGGATGTAGATGAACACCAGGGCATGGGCGTGCTGCTTGCAGGTCAGGTACCGCTCCAGCAACGGGAACTCGAAATACCTCTCCCGGCGGGCCCTGGGGGTGGAGGGACACAGGGGGAGTGACAGCCACCTCCCATTTCACCCAGTGCCATCCTGGGTGCAGCCACAACGCCATGTGGAGGGACTCCAAGGGCCACAGTGACCTGGCCTGGCCTCACCTCTCGTACTCCTCCCAGAATTGCTCTGGCTCCGCACTGGCCTGCTGGACCTTCTTCATGTGCTGCACCAGGCGCACGGAGCGGTTGTAGGATTTATCCAGCTCGTCAATGATGAAGAGGAGGTCGCAGTGCAGGGCAGGGGCAGCAGCGTAACGCCACAGCAGGTACGGCAGGTACATCAGCACTGCCACCACCAGCAGCGAGTAGGGGAACACCTGGGCAAAGAACACGAATGGTCACAGAGGATGTGGAGTTGCTCTTGCTGTGGACATCCAGATGGGATGCAGGGGCACTCAGACGTGACTTTGACCCTACCTTGAGAGCCCAGAGGGACTTGGTGATGGCACGTCCCTCGGCGTCGAAGCCGTGGTGGATGAGGGAGTCCCAGCAAGCAGTGTCGGTGTAGGCGGACTGCTTCCCCGTGAAGTTGGTGGGAGAGAAGCAGCTGATCTGGGAGCCTGGGGCGAGGAGGAGGAGAGCAAATCTCAGCCATGGAGGGTGGAGGAACACTCCAAAGCCACAAGCAAATGCCTTAGAGGAAGGTAATTACATCTGAGGCATTGCTTTGAATCAAAAAAGCCTTTTTCATGGTCATTTTGGAGCTGCTGTGTTTCTAGTCAGGACTTTTCCATCTCTTCCCAAACACAAACCCTTTGTGTGTAGCAGTGTGTACACAGTGTAAGGAATTACAGACTAACAACTAACCAGCCAGAAACTGGAGTAAAACCAAACCCTCAGGGAGAGCAGTTAGATGTTGGCCAAGGCCAGATTTAGCCTGAGGTCACAATGCATCTCTCCATGCTGCTGGCACCCTCCTCTTCCTCCTCCTTGGAAACAAGCCCATGGCACCCAAAGGTGCTGGGCACAAGCAGCTGAGGCCGGGCATTGACTCAGTGCTGCTCCTGGGGTTAGCACAGCTGTTCCCACACTCTCCCAGTGAATTAGGATCCATTAAAAACAATCAATAAATACCCATGAGGCAGAACAGCTCCTAAAACTGTTCCAGGCTGTTCCGCTTTGGATCATAACACCATCAAGAATACAAAGGATTTGCCACAACAACCAAACCACCGCTGGTGATTGCCCACGACCTGAAGAACACATTGGAAAAGCCACAACTCACCAGCAGAGAACTCCCGGGCGAAAGCCAGCGAGACGAGGAAGAGGGGCAGCCCCACGGTGACGAACTTCAGCAGGCGATCGCTCGGCAGCTCCAGCCGCAAGCCCTTGGCTCGGGAACTGCTGGGATCCGGGAGCAGAGCATCAGAGAGCATGTACTCAGCAGCCGTGTGCGAGAGGGACATTTTGAAGTGAGGAAGAGACACTGATGAGGGCTGCCTGAGGTGTGACTGGCTCAAGGAGCGACTTTGCCGGGCTGAAAAGCTCCTGCCGAGAGCCTGCTGAACGCTGTGTCCGGCAGCTGTGAACGACAGCTCAGGCAGGGCGTTAAATCACCTCGTAATTACAGGGGAAGCCTTTTCACAAACAGAAATAGAAAAACCCACCCCAGCAGCCGCAGCAGCGAGCGGGGAAGGCAGCAGGCTGGGAAGGCACTTTCCTCCCTGACAGCATTCCTGCAGGGCAGCGTTCCTGCCCGGCCACAGCCGCTCCTGGCTCCCCGTGGTTTTACCTCCCTCTCTCATCAGCCAACAGATTTCTGGCGCTGTGGCCCGAGGGCATGGGGGTCCCCAGCTATTTTCAGCAGGGAGTCAGGGGACTGGGCCCTCCCACAGCAAAAAGCCCCAACCAAATACAGAGTGGTCCTGTGGGGCATAAAATCCCCTTTCCAGCATCCAAACCAGCCAGAGGGGCCAGAGAACATCCTGCTGCCCAGCCCCAAGCTCCTCAGACAGGTTAGGAGACACCAAATGAGGTAATTTTGAGGCAGAACATCTGCTGCAATTCCCCATATCATCAATCCCTCCTCTTGCCTCCCTCTCAGGGCACAGGGGGAAGAATCTGGCTCCAAGGAAGGCTCCCAAGGGCAGGGGACTCCAATAAGGGATTCTAAAAATAAGGAATAGGGTAACTGAAGGAGCAGTTACAGAACAGTTTCCCAGCAGCACAGTGCTGAGAAACCCACACCAATGCTGCTGGCAGCACAGAGCAGGGGCAGTCTCAGAGCTGCTCAGCCCAGCCCAGCCAAGCCAAGCAACTCCCTGTGCAGTCTCTCAACACAGCAAAAAAATACCAGAGCCACTGCCAAATTGCACTTTCGATGGATTTTCCAGTGAAGGGACTGTCCAAATCTGAGCTAAGCAACTCTGGAGAGACAAGTGAGAGTTCCACAATCTGGGAGGGGCTGCAACAGGTCTGCTCAAACCTACACAGGGACTGAGTCCCACCCAGCCAGAGCACAGAGACACACACCACCTTCCCTCAAGGGAATTGGAACCTTTATTGCCCAGAGACAAGTTCAAAACACAAATCAGGCAAAGCCCAGCTTTCACCCAGCCTTGTTCGTCTCTACTAGAGGCTCCTCAGTATGTCCACCTGCTTTCCTGGGCCAGAAGCACATGTAGGCACCCACTCTGAATCCAGCAACATCAGCACCAGCACAGACACTGCAGGCTTTACCCCACCACTGGCTCCAAGGTGGGCACAGCTGCTGCCACGTGCAGGAGATGTGGAGATACATGGCACCATTCCAGTCCTGCCTTGTCAGTCCTTAGGGATGTCCAGCTCTAGCTTCCTCAGGGTTTTTTGGAAGAAGAGGGGCAGCTTGCAGACAAAGTCTAAGGGCTGGCCCAGGGGCAGGCAGAGGCGGTGGGCGTGCAGGTGCAGGGGCAAGTGCCGAGCCTTGCTCTGCTCCAGCTTCAGCCTCCTCAGGGTGAGCTCAGGAAGCTTCTGCAGCAAGGACAGAAAATGTTCCCTTCAAAATTGCAGCTTTTCAGCTGGGACTTGAAATCCCCAGCCCATGAGCAGCTGGGGGACACAAGGGGCCCTATCCAGCTCCAGCTGCTCCCCAGTGCAAGACCTGCCTTACCTGGGGCGCCAGTTTGCTCCAGTGCGAGTATTTGTGATCCCCCAGGATGGGGCATCCCAAGCCATAGGCCAGGTGAACCCGGATCTGGTGCTTCACCCCTAAGGAGAAAAAGGGAAGAAGAGAAAGCTGACATCCAGCTGGGCTCACCCTCAGTGCTGGACAAAGCTGTGCCAAAATCACTGGCAGCCAGCACCCAGAGCTTTGTCCTAGAAATGGGACAAAGTCTTGTCTAATGACAAGGTCCCCCTTCCAGAGCTGCTGCTGACTGCACAGTGACGCCGGCAGGGGGCTGTGTACAAATCACAAACGGGATGGGATTGCTGTGGAACGTGCCTTGAGCTGTTTTATTTTCCAGCATCAGTCTCATTACATCATTATGACAATGGGAAGATGCCAGAAGCTCACATCCCAGGCAGCAGACCAAGAATTTAATGTTACAACTTACTTTATAAGTTTTTTGACCAATCACACAAAGCAAAAGCATATTGACAGTAGTTCTGTCTAACCACTATAAGCACACTACCTTTGGTTAAAATAATGCTTGCTTATTTCAAATAAAATACCTGCTTGTAAGCCTTAAAACACAATGCACAGAGCTCCATTATTAAGCTTCAACCTTCCTAGTATCTTGCTAGATAAACTTTTCTGTAGCTTAGAGAGTTATTCTAGACAAGCGTTAATACACAGACCATTGTTCTATTTGTCTTTGCTTTTCTACAGTTTAAATAATTTTTCTGCTGACCAATCTCATGGCTGCTGCTTAGCTCTAATCACAGTTCTGCTGTCTCTGGAGCCTGCCTTTTGCAGCTTTCCCAAAACCCTCTGATTTTATAGATTCCCACACACAGAGAGCAGATCAGCCCCAGGGCAGGCCCCACTCACCGGTGATGGGCTGGAGCTGCAGCAGGGAGCAGGCGGAGGCAGCAGCCAGCCGGCGGTACCGCGTCACTGCGCGCTCGGCGTGCCGATCCCCGCGGGCCTTCACCACCCTGCCGTCCTCCGGACGCACGCGGTACCTGGGAGCCAGCGTCATCTGGAGGGTGGTGAGAGGGGAGTTGGGGCAGACAGGAGGGGATGCTGGGGCTGCCTGGCCAGAATGGCAGCTGAGGGAACACAGGACTCACCTTGTAGTGGGACTGGTGGCTCTGCACCTCCTTCTCCACAATGGGGATCTCCACAACACCCTCAACAGGGTCCGGGTCCCCCAGGACGATTGCCCTGGAAAGGGAAAGCAGAGGTCTGTGGGGTGTTGCTCTTACAGGAGGGGAACCCTCCCCTCAGCCCCTCTCCCATGACCCAGTCCCATAAAATGGTGCTGAAAGGGGGAGATAAGCAACACCCCCTACTTCCACAAAGCCCTCAGACCCTAGGGATTGTCCCCTCACCCTTTTTTTAAATGCCTTTCACAGCCCCATCTTCACTTAAGCCTTTCCTACCAGTAGATCTTCTCCACCTGACGGGTTTTGAAGAGCAGACGGATCTTCTCTGCTGCCTCCTTGCTCCGTGCCAGCACCATCACACCCGTGGTCTCCTTGTCCAACCGGTGGCAGAGGTGGAGGGGCTCAGCTTTCATGTTCTCCAGCATCTTGGCCAAAATGGGCAGCACATCAGCGATGCAGTTCTTGATGCCAGGGCCACCTGTGTGACCCAGGGCAGCAAGGAGTCTCACCTCTTGTACTCCCCATGCACCCTAAATCACCCCAAAATGCCAGGGGAAGGCCGAGATCTGACAGTGGCCAAGCCCCTGGAACCCTCCCTGGGAAGGGAAACCCCAGCACAGGAAGGGCAGGAACAGAGGATCCCCATAAGCACCACGGAGCCATTTCCATTCCCCACTCGCCCTCACCGTGCACAGGGAGCCCGTAGGGTTTGTCTATCACCACAATCTCCTCATTCTGGTATAGAGTTCTCTGTTTAAGGATCTTGGCCAGGACATTGGGGTGAACCTGCTGCATCTGTTGGCTCATTGCAGTGAGTTCCCGGAGCCATCGCTGCGTCGGGTCCTTGGGGATCTGAGGAGAGAAGGAGACACCAGTGGTGGGGTTTAAACAGCTCTTGGCTCTCACACAAACCTGCATTGGCACCTGCAGCAACGTGCTCACCTTCCCTGTGCTCCTGCTCCATGACTGAGGGACAGCCTGGGATCCAGAGGGATCAAGGGGACAAGCTCAGTCAGTGGCCTTGGGGAATCTCCTGAGGATCAACAAGGCCAAGGGCAGGTGCTGCACCTGGGCCAGGGCAACCCCCAGGATCATCCAGGCTGGGCATGAAGGGATGGAGAGCAGCTCTGGGAGAAGCACTTGGGGTGCAGGTGGGGGAGAGCTGGACAGGCCCTGGCCCAGAACCCCCCCTGTGCTGGGCTGATCCCCAGCCTGGGCAGCAGGGCAGGGGGGGATTCTGCCCCTCTGCCCCCAGGTGAGACCCCACCTGCAGAGCTGCCTCCAGCTCGGGGGTCCCAGCACAGGAAGGAGCTGGAGCTGCTGAAGCCCAGAGGCCACGGAGATGCCCCAGGGCTGGAGCCCCTCTGCTCTGGAGCCAGGCTGGGAGAGCTGGGGGTGCTCACCTGGAGAAGGCTCCAGGGAGAGCTCAGAGCCCTTTCCAGTGCCTAAAGGGGCTCCAGGAGAGCTGGAGAGGGACTTTGCACAAGGGCCTGGAGTGACAGGATAAGAGGGAATGGCTTCACACCGACAAAACACGGAGTTAGGGGGGATACTGGGAAGAAATTTTCCCTGCGAGGGTGGTGAGGCCCTGACAAGTTGCCCAGAGCACTGCCCCATCAAGGAGTGCCCAAGGCCAGGTTTGGAAGGAGCTGGGAGCACCCTGGTCTAGGGGAAGGTGTCCCTGCTCCAGCAGGGGTGGAACTGGATGGGTTTTCTCCGATCCCCCCCGATCCCTCACCGCGAGTCCCGCTCCCCGTGCCCGCCCGCGCTATGCACGCCGGGACTTGTAGTCCGAACACCCCGGGCCCAGCGGCCCGCACTCCGCTCACCTCTCGCTGTTGCTCCTCGCTCTTCCGCAGCCGCTCCGCCAGCTCCTCCGCCCGCAGAGCCGCCGTCGCCCGTCCGCTCCCGCAGACGCCACGCACAGTCCGGGCCAGGCCCGCGCCGCTCCGCCAACAGCGCCTCGCCGCGCCGCCGCCCGCCGCCATCTTCTACCTCCTTCTCCGCGTCCCTCCGCCGGCCAATGGCGGCGCCGCGGGTGCAGCACCACGGAGCTCCTGCCCAATGGGAAGGTGTCGCCTGCTGAGCGACAGCCGCGCTGGCCAATGGCGGCGCGCGGGGGTGTTTAAACCGCGGCGGCAGTTGCGGGGGCACAACGGAGCAGCGGGAGCGGCGCGGCCGGGCCGGAGGTACCGGGGAGCGAGAGGGGTGGGGGGGTTCCAGCCCGTACAGCCTCAGTCATCCCCTCAGCGCTGCCTCACTGCGCTGGGGGCGCTGAGCCCCCTCCCATTGCCCTCAAACCAGAACACAACACCGCTCCGCTGGTTTTCTTGAGATTTATAAAAAAAATAGCAGTGAAAAAACACTTTTTTTTTTTTTTCAATTACAGTAATTTAAAAAAGGGGTGAAGCGTCTGCTGCCCCCATGCCGAGGTGCCCTGTCACTCGGTATCCATACAGATCCTCTTGGGCAGCTGCTCGGGGGCTCCGCTGCTGCCCCGCTTGCCCTCGGGGGGCTCCCCGGCCCAGTCCCCCGGCAGCCCCGGCCCCTGGGGCGGCTCGATGCGGCCCCTCCGCACGAAGTGCTCGATCCGGGCCTCCAGCCCCTCGCATCGGGGCCGGGCCAGCAGGGGCTTGTAGGTGCGGGCTTGGACCCCTTCCACGAAGCCGCTGATCTGACTGTGGAGTGGGGGCTGCAGCTCACCCCAGGGCACCAGGCTGCTCTCTGGACCTGTGACATCATGGAAAAACAACATTTAATTATCCCGTACTTTCTGTATTTTTTTTTTCCTTCTTTTTTTTAAGCAGTTAATCCTCTGTAATTCCTAGAATCCCATCATGGTTGTGTTGGAATGGACCTTAAAGCTTATTTCATTCCATGCCCTGACACAGGCAGGGACACCTTCACCTTCCACTACCCCAGATTGCTCCAAGCCCTGCCCAGCCTGGCTTTCAACACTGCCAGGGATCCAGGGACAGCCACAGCTTCTCTGGGGACCCTGTGCCATCTGCCCATCCTCACAGGGAAGAATTTCTTCCCAATATCCCATCTAACCCTACTGTCTGTCAGTGTACATTCCAAGCTATTCCCCCCAGACTCCCTTTACCATTTCTGGTGGCCACGGGAGCAGCATCCAGCCCTGCCAACATGTCCCGGAGC